AAGGTAGCTGGGATGATCATCTGTCACTTATTGAGTTCACATATAATAATAGCTACCATTCCAGTATTTTGATGGCTCCATACGAAGCTCTTTACGGACGGAAGTGTAGGTCGCCTATAGAGTGGTTCGATGTTGGGGAAACTATGTTAGTAGGACCAGAATAGGTACAATAGGCAATCGAGAAAATTAAGCTTATACAGGAAAGGCTATTAGCAACTCAAAGTCGTCAGAAGTCTTATGCGGATAATCGACGATGAGACTTGGAGTTTCAGGTTGACGACTGGGTATTCCTAAAAGTATCACTGATAAAAGGTGTTATAGGTTCGAAAATAAAGGAAAACTTAGCCTTCGGTACATTGGACCATATAGGATGATACGCAAGGTAGGCTAGGTAGCATATGAGTTAGACTTGCCTTCGGACTTGGAGTCTGTACATCCAATCTTTCATGTGTCTATGCTCCATAAATGTATCGGAGATCCTTCCAGAATAGTGACAATTGACAACGTTCAGGTCACGTAGTAGCTACCATATGAAGAAACTCCCATTGCTATATTAGACAGATAGGTTCGGAGATTGAGAACTAAGGACGTAGCTTAGGTGAAAGTACTTTGGAAAAACAACAATGTAGAAGAAATGACTTGGGAGGCCGAGGAAGACATGAAGTCTAGATATCCCTACTTATTTCCTATTCCAGAGAAGGGTCCGACTGAGATATCACAACCTTAAGGTACGTGTATGGATTCTTGTATTAGTTATTGTCATTGGTCGTGTGAGGCCATTGTCGTTGTTGATGATTGTGGTCCTATGTGTCGTTGAATTATTGAGTTTCTACAGGAAAAGTCAATAGTGTTATTGTTACAAAGGTGACTCTGCCAAAGTCTATATAGATTCCGGGGAGTTAAACATTCGAGGACGAATGTTTCTAAGGGGGGGAGGATGTTACATCTCGCGTTTCTCGTACGTTAAAGTTTCGTCTTCAGTTAGTTAACATAGACTCGGGGATGAGATTATCATGAGGTTAGCATATTTATTCTATTCATAACAAGCAATAAGTAAGTGCCATAAAGGATAAAGGGTATATGAATTTAAAAAAATGAGTTTCGTTGAAGGTTGTCGATTTGGGATAAAATATGGCCTGAGCTATAATACCCGATATTTATGGACTAGTACCATATAAGGTACCATATGATCGTGATAGTATGATGTATAAAGTATATTAAAAATAAGTAGTATTTTAAGTAATTTGAGATAATTCTTAATTATGTGGGTAATTGATTANTCATTCACTTCATTCCCTATATTTTGTATACAATCACTACAATCTGAATATAGCCATTCTTACAATTAGAAACGTTAGCCATGAATTGATAATTAAAAAAGCACTACAAATCAGAACATTAGCCATTCTTCAAGTTTTCAATAAAAACTTCTTGCAACCAAGCGATTCGAAAGAGAGTTATTAAAACCTTAGCAACGTAAAATTTTGTGGTTCTAAAGGAGTACAGTGCAACCTTTTCAAAGAATATCATACGGATTTTTTTCTACTCCAGGTATTTTAAGGCTATCCCTTCTTTCTTTTTCGCATCATCTAAATGATACAAAAAAAAAATGAGCAAACGCACAGCTTTCATAAACAGAATTACTAGGGGTCTCTATGTTCTTGATTCCCCATGTGACATATTATTATATCTTCTTTCATGGGTCTCAGAATAATACACGGTTGATAAAGTTTATCCGAAAGGAATGTTGAGATTATTAACATATTTACATGCATTTCATTCATTTATACATATACATTGACCCATGACCAGATGGCGTTATATATGCGTATTTATATATATGGGATATGGAAAAAGGTTACGACGTTATATACACACCACCACCTGATCAGTTGGTATATATTGATGATTTTGCCCACAATGGCCGAGATGATATGATGGGATGCCCTCAGAGGCTTGATGATGTTATGTACACCTATACCTATGCATGACACGATATTTACACGCACGTGCATGATGTTATAATTGTTTCAGGATTTGCAAAGTTATTTAGACTTACAGGCGGAATTCCTTATTCTATGTTTCATCTATGTCTCATATGTACTGATTTTCATGCCTTACATACTCAGTACATTTTCGTACTGAAACCCTATTTTTCGGGGCCTACATTTTATGCTCGTAGGTGCAGGTAGGCAAGCTGGCGGTCCCCTTGCTTAGGATCCTTGATCAACGAGAGTTGGCGTGCTCCACTTGATCCGGAGCTGCTTTTTATTTTGGTACGATATGCTTGTATACATATATGGGTATGACGTGGCCCCGTCCCTTCCTTGCACATTTGTATTTTCTATTAGAGGTCTGTAGACAGTTCTGTATAGTTGGATAGCATGTGGCCTTGTCGGCTTCCAATTTTGGGTATATAATTGTCTATAGCAGCCTTGCCTGCTCGCCCACTGTATTCCGCATGTATATGTACATATATCTTTTGGATAGGTTACCCTCACGTATGTTATTCATGTTTATATCTTAAACGTATGTTTAAGGATGTTCGACATATAGGATTCGGGCACCCGTCGCAGCCTATCGATTTGGGTCGTGACATTCGGAGTATTAAATGCTAGAAGACGTGCGTCCCTTCAAGTGATAGAGACCGTTCAAGAACTTTTTCGCCAAGAAAAGAATGCTTATCTACTTTCCGGTAACACTGCGTTGCGTCATCGGAAAGTAGGGTGACTATCTGTATGGGGTGAAATTGGTTGATAGCAGGTGGTCGAATGGTGAGATGACACGTGAAATCTAAGACAGGTAAAAAGTTAGTCCGCAAATAACTGGCACCGGGTGTAAATTGTATGACCTATGCTGGATTGATCACGAAGGGAGTGTAGCTGACAATAAAGATTCAAAGGTTCGATATCGGATAACATTTAATGAGCAGCAATTACAGAGGATATCATCATTCAAAGTCAGCCGTTATGCACCCATAAATGGCGATTTTATTCTCATTCAAGAGGGGCTTGATTTTAGGATCTTGTCTCGCTAAGTAAGACTATAAATAGCAGGATTAACAACCATTGTAGGGACACAAAATATATTATACACGAAAAGCTATAATCTACTATCATGTTACGCTCAATTTTAATATTTGAACATTGCATCTGCTCTTGTCATCGAAAATGCTAAGTCTTTAGTCCGGCTTGTTATTTCTTTTAATTTAAATCGTTAATCTTATTTTTTGTTCTTATTTGTTTATTGTTTTTGGGTCAAATCGATTATCTTGCCTATGAACCACGTTATAAATTTAGATGTATCGTTTTACGAGTAAATAAAATGCATGAGTGGTTAGTGAGAAATGCATGGAAATGATTTATGTAAGACTAAGAGGGAATAAATGCAAAAACATGGGTAGAAGATCAAAAGGAATGGCGGTGTGCACAAAAAACCAAAGATTTGGACATATAATTGGGTGGATGGAGGCAATATACAGAATCTGGGTTAGAATGAAGAATTCTACCGCTTTTAATTATTTGGAAGTGGGTACGTTGAATATAGCAGTAAACTAGAAATTGAAGTGGTCCTTTAGGGATATGCCTGCTTTTCACCCAGTATGGGAACCAAATGTTTGCTCATTTTCCCACGTCCTTGCCGTTCATTGTCTCATAGTCTCTCATAATTCATTTCCTCCTCAATTCAGAATGTTCTGCACAATTCCACGTTACTATCAGTCAAAAGAATAATACATTTATCTTATAATATCACTGACAAAGTGACAATGCAAACAAATTTAGACATTCAGTGCAAATTTAATTTGTTGTAGTATAATGTTACTTGTATTATTTCTCAGATTATTCTTTAAATTACCTTCAAGGGGACTTGAGAGTGCAATTTTTTTTTTTTACCATCGGCGTAAGAGAAGTTAAATCCAAAGATTATAACTCCATAATATATACACTAATGAGTTGGTTGAGGGTCTACAAACAAAAAGAGAGAGAAGTCTCTGCCATATCCCAAGAAATATATCAAAAACTCCTCCAATCTATTTGTTTAGGTTTTTCTTTTTATTAGCAAACCAGGAAGGAGTGAACTTGAAGAGCAACGTGGCAATGTTCTTTGCTTGTTCTATCTTTTGGGTGCATGGTATATAGTATCACTATTTGAAGAGTCAATTGTTTTTACTTTGAGTAACAACTTTTTTTCAATTTTGTTTGTTTCAATCAACAGTTAAACATCACCAATCATACAATATGTTATACCTTTTACAATTACTATATATCACCTACTATATTATATCTACTGACACTGAAAAATGGTCAAAAAATAATTTGATAACGTTACAGGTTAGATGGATTATGCCAACTAAGTTGGAAAATAAGAATAGTTAACTAAGAAGATGGCTACAGGTGGCCCTTTGAATAGTAGTACGCTACTGGAAAATGAGCCTATTGCAACAGCCAGAAAACCGTTGCAATTGACACGTAAACCGTTATATACGCTGTCGTGCCAGTAGATCTAGAGTAACGGTTCTTGCAACGGTTATCCAAACCGGTGCTTAAGGGCTATCTATCGCAACGGTTGTTCCTCTGTCTGAAGCAACAAGTATTTCTTTCCAGTTGTAACGGTTAAAAACCATTGCCATAGAGTTTACAACAACGGTTGGCAGTCGTTACCATATAATTTGTTGCAACGGTTATGTAAGCTATTGCAACGTTTATTTACAGATATTCTAACGGTTTCATTATGCTACTGTAACGGTTTTTTCCTTTTTCAACTGTTTTAACTACCTATTATATCAGTTTGTTGCACATTTTGGAACGATTTGTAAGACCTAATGGAACGGTTTGGAAGACCTATTGGAACGGTTCTTTTAAACTATTTTGGAGCAATTTGTCAGACCTATTGGAATGGTTTGCAAGACCTATTGGAACGGTTTTATTAGACTATTACGCCCTGGCTGTAAATGAATATTTAGATATATAAAAATTGTAATAACCTGAAATTTATATAAATAAAAAGATAAAACACTTCATAATTTATATTGTCTCCATAAAACCAAAATATTTTAACCCAATATCACATAAGTTTTATATTTCAACACTTCAAGAGTTAGAGTTATAAGTTTCAAATGTTGATAACAAAAGATTCCTAGAACATGGACAACAATTCAAAGTTCTTAAGTAAAGCCTAGATCTTCACAATCTCCATCTTCCCTTTCTTCAATTGCTCCACCTACAAAAGAGGATAAATAAAGTCATTATCCTTCAAGAGTTGATTTATCATTATAAGAATGGGTATGGTCCATAAACGATCCATAAAGCACAAAGTTTTCAAATGTACTAGAATGTCGATCTCTAAGTCTTCAGTTCTTTTTGCTAGGATGAAACAATCTTATATCCAGCAAAAATCTTAAAGCACAAAGTTTTCAAAAACAAGTCAGAGATGACAACAAGTAATTGGTTGTCTTTAAATCTGTGTAAGAATGCAAAAGAAACTTTTCAGATTTTCTGAGGGTTAAAATCAGGTACCAACGAGATGAAAAAATATAGATCTATTATTAACTTCATAATGAAAACATATTTGCTTTGGGATTATCTAATTGTGTTCTAAACTGAAGCATCATAAGCTTGTGACAATGAAACAACATGCTCAAGACATTAGAGAGGTACCAGAAGTGTAATAGTCAGTTGATATTTTTTTTAAATATCAACATAGACAAGTATGACATAGACAAGCATAAGGATTTCAACCAATGTTATTTCAGCTTGGTTAAACTTAATTGTTACAGTTTCTGAATAGCAAAGTCATTTAAGTGTGTCTCCTTTCAGTTGGAATGATGAAAGTTACATTACATATTACAAGCAAAAGATGCATGTATGCCTATCTTCCTGACATCTACTACATGCCATCTTAGACTGATGGACAGACATAACTTGTAACACACTTACATGAAACATATCTTTCCAATAGAGTCCCTCCTTCCCTCTCTCATGTGTCATGTGGAACATATGCAAAGCCTATACAATTGCTACAAGTCAGTATGACCTTTTTTTAAATGTTTGAATTACAGGAAGTCCAAAACTACAACAATTAGATGCCAGTCAAAAGGGTATATTACAACAGAATGAATAAGGACTTACAAACGGAACCAAGTTAAAAAGTGAAAAGAGTAGTACTCAGGAAGGCAAGCAATGCATTTTGTTAACATGGATGTAAATTAAGCAGGTAACCAAAAAATGTACATCAGGAATGAGATAAAGAGAGTTTCAAAAGATTGAGGGAATAAGAATGAAGCACTAAAAACACTCTTGGAATAGCAGCCTGCTACTACAGCAGCTGCAACAAGGCTTTCAAATGAAGTGCTCAAACCATATGCATGTCAAAATGTGCCCACCTTATGTTACTAGGTTCCAAGTCAAATCCACATCCCCCACAAAAATAGCAAGTTTAACATGCTAGACATCTGTAAATATACGCTCATGATCTCTTAACCAAAAAAACAACGAATATATCCAAGAAACTTGAATAGACAGGGTTGTCCAAGAAAGCCCAACCAACTTCTTTTTTTATGGTCCAGATTTTTTTTCTGAATAAGAGAAAAGAAGCTTTTCTTAGATCCACTCTATAATCATTTCTTAAAAGAGTGCAGGCCTATAATAATTTTAAAAATAACCAAGATCTATTTTTAGCTAATATTAATGTGTTAAACTGATCTAGCCGAGAAAACTTTTCCAGTTTTGACCTGCTGATTAAACATGCAGTCGAAATGCATAAGCAATGAAAATAATTAAGAACAATTCACTAGTCACGACCACAAGACATAGCTAATGATATTTGTAATAAACCACCACCCTTACTCTTATATGTCCTTTGACGCTCAATATAGCTAGTTGACAGAAGCCTTCAATGTAGAGAGTCTACTATGAGGATTTAGAAAGAAAAGAAAAAAAACAAATGGTAAGCAATTGAAACAAATGCTCACCAGTAAATCATGGAGTTGAGCCCAACTAGTTTGTAATTGAAACGTTGTTGACTGATTAATTGATTTAGGTTCCAAAGATACAAAAATCAGCTAGCCACACCTAGACAACCGAGATTTGATATGAATGAATCTTGTGTACTCCAAAAGACCAACAAAAGCACGAGTTTTAACATTTGCTTTTGCCAATCGATAGATGGCTTTGTATAGAAAACCAAGATAAAGAGGAAGCAACATGTGTTGATATTATAAGCCAATTATTCTCTTTATAAAAGGTTATAGCTAATTTGAGATAAAACAGTCAACTCCGAATAAGTTTAAGTGAAACTTTAAAAAAGAAGCAGAAGGAGGAGAAGAAGAAAGCAAGAAACAAACAAAGATAGACGTACTGACCTTGATTATTACTCCTAGTAGATAGGCGATTGATTAGTTGTACAGCAGCTTGTTGTGCAGAGGAAGCTTCTCCAGGTGAACGAGTATTGAAACCTAGCATGCTGGGATTAACTCGTAAATCTGGATTCGGATGCTTAAGTTGTGAAATGATGTTAACTGCAACTTGTAGTTTCATGGTATCTTTTTGTGAATTGAACTTTTCCTGCAATCTTTGTTGCATCCTTTCTTCCATTTCCTCCAATTTTTGCTGCATCACCTCATCAGTAGAACTTAAAGAGGGTCCAAAATCTCCCACTTTTCTTTTTAAGGAAGTCTTGGTAACCCCACGTCCATACAACCTTAGGCAACCTGGATGCTCAGGTCCTATGACTGATGCAAATGCATTAACTGATTGACTGCCATTTTCACTTTCTTGTGTTGATTGTATTCTTTCCATTTCATCCTACAAGACCAAATTGAGTCATTATTAAATCAGAAAGTATATGACACTGAGTCAATAACTAAGAATAGACAAATGATAACAACATACTTTAAATTAATAACTCGTACAATTTTATTAAGAGTATCCGCATACGAGGCCTTGTATACTCGATCAACTTTTCTTTTTCTCGTAACCACAAAGATGTCCTTGCTTAATAGAGGCTCAGAAGTTTCTTTCTTTTTTTCCTGATTATATAAAAAGTGGTATAAAATATTTTGGACTAAAGTTAATAAGTTCATATTTAAAAGAATAATAAGAAGAAAAAATAATATCAAACCTCGCATATTCGAGCAAAACTTCTTTTACCAGCAGTGTGTGGATATTTTAACTTTTTGCAATTCTCGATATTGGTTTGGGACATTTTCTGTAAATCAGCCAATAAATACAAATTTGTCAAGTTCAGTTGTCCTAATAGATTCAAATCAAGCTTAAATTTTGTACTAGGTTATGTAACTTAAGTGCATTTGATGTATAAAAATAGTTAAGTGATTTCTAATTAAACATAAACCAGACATTCTCAGCAAATCATGGGACAGTACTTAGTTTTACCTTGTAGGCATCAGAGTTCCAATAATTAAGAAGATCCCTAAATTGAGATTTAGGAACATCAACCAGCCTTTTCTCCATTTGAAGCTCGTCATTCTCATACGCTTTATAATGGTCGTTAAATAGTTGATTCTTATACTTTCTCCAAGCATTCTGAATTGAAACAAAAACCCACCTTTTCGCAGCATCATGAATATCATATTTTCCCTACAAATTTAATTTGGTACAGTTAGGTTAGTGTAAAAATATGAAACATCTATATAGAATATTGCGAACTTCAAACCTTGATATATATCCACATATCTTCTTTTGTTTGAAGTTTTCTCCAATTAAACACATTAAGAGAACAAAAGGTTGCATTCCTTGCCAATGTACCGAGGAAGCTACCCAACTCTGCTACAACATCATCAGTAGGACCTATGGGTTGATTGTTCTCGTTTAGCACAATTAGCTTGCGCTCTTTCCTATCATGAATACTTGGAATCAGAGTTTTTCCTCTCTTTTTTTCGGCAGAAGGACCTGCATTAATATTAAGTAAGAATAATCACCATATATCACGTCCATATTATTTGCTAAGTTAACGAAATAAAATTTATATGTTCTTGCCTTGTTCCTCGGATTGTTTATTTGTTTCATGATTGGAAGAATCCTCAAATTGTTCATGTACCGTTTGTGAAGTACGAGGGGTGGAATTCAGTGGCAGTTGCTGCAATTGTTAACGTACTGCTGGTGATGCAAGAGAGGTAAAGTTCAGTGATTTTTGTTGCACATGTTCATGTACATTTTGTATTGGAGGAGAAGCAGAAGGCTGAGGTCTTGCACATGAGCTCCTAATTGCGGAAGTTGTTTTTCAATTAAATTCAGGTGATGCTTGTCATTTGTCCTTGTAGATTGAACAATTCTTTTTGTTTTTAATTATGAAACTTTTTGGTTCAGCAAAGATGCAAGTGATCCGACTGCAATGTAATTTTTAGCCTTTTTGTTATTACTTGAGTGTCCTTCCTGACTCATGAATATTCAAATTCCTGTCAAAATCAAAAAATTAAATAAGAAATAAGTTATCAAAACATTAACAATAATGCATTGTATACACCTCACAAGTCTACGTTACCTTGATCTTTTCTGTAATCAGTCAGCCTTTCACATTAAAAAAATAGTTTCAATTTACTAAAGGAAGAATAGAATCAAATGTTTTCTCTGAACAAAGTTAGAGAGACTATCATTACTTTGTAAAAGAATAGAATCAATTAGTTAGACATTACAGCTTCATATGCAAACCTGATAGAATCAATCAATTAGTTAGACTGTCATTACTTGTTGAAAGAATAGAAAAGTTAAGGCACATATCATATCAATGAAGCATTATATTTGTAATCTGACTATAAGTATCCGTTAATGACATATGCAGTATATCTTTTGGCAATTGTATTAGGCCCTTTAGCTAGCCATCTTACATAATCGGGCACTTCAATATTTTTAACGTTCTTAGCAAACCAATTGTTGAATTCCCGACTATGATTTCTTGTCCTTTCCTATGCATTTGATCTACTGCGATTACCAATTAAATTCTTATGTTCCTTGCAATCATGAATATTTCAAGATCAATCATATCATTAAAAATGAAGTATAGAATAAGTGTTATATAATTATCTTACTCGATAAACTTTCCACTTGTTCATCTCCAGTATTGAACAGAGCATATCAATGTGCTTCATAACATAACTGTGGATCCATGTGAAAAGTATTTTTTTCTTACTTCCAATTGGATGGCCTATAACAGGGAATATGGATGACAAATTTTGAGGGCACTCATCATCTACAATTGAGTATCTACTGAATCTTGTCTTCACACTGTCATGTAGGTATCTTGAACAAAAAATCAAACACTCTTCTGCCAAAAATCCCTCTACTATCGATGCTTCTGGACAAGATCGATTACGAACAAATGTCTTGTATTTACATAGATTCCTCTCAATGGGATACATCAAACGAAGATGAGCTTGACCCCAAGCTTAATTTCATTCACCAAATGAATAGGCAAATGTGGCATTATATCGAAAAATGTTGGATGAAAATTTTTTTCAAACTCACAATTTATTTCAACAATTTCAGAGTTCATTTTTTCAAGATCACTTTACCTTATGACCTTAATACATATGGCTCTAAAAAAATTACCCAATCTAATCAAGGCCAATGAAACACTCTTGGGCAACGTCTTTCTAACAGCAACCTGGAGCAAGTAATGCATTAAAAATGAGCATCATGACTCTTGTACCGGGATATTTTCATCTGCTTCACTTGTACGCGTTCTGAAATATTTGAAGCACAACCTTTTGGCAACTTGGCATTTTTTATGACGGTACAAAATAAACTTTTCTCTTTTGGTTTCATGTAGAAACAAGTTGTGATGTCACTTGCTTTTAAATTGAATTTTGTATTTCCGATGCCTTAAAACCCTCATTTAGCATTACCTCGATTTGCGTGTGCAGTCCGGGTGAGTAGCCGGAAAGCTTATATGTGAAAATCTGTGAAAAATAATAAATTTTGACTATAAAATGAATAAATTTGACTTCGGTCAACGTTTTGGGTAAACGGATCCGGACCCGTAATTTGACGATCCCGGAAGGTCCGTAGGAAAATATGGGACTTTGGCGTATGCCCGGAATATAATTTCGAGGTTCCAAGCCTGAGAAATGAATATTTAAAGAAAATTATTTTCTGAAATTGTTTAAAGGAATTTAAAATTAATTTCGATTAGAGCATGTTGGTATCAGGCCCGTATTTTGGTTTTGGCACCCGGTACATGTCTTATATATGATTTAAGATGATTCTGTGGAGTTTGGTAAGAAACGGAATCCGTTTGACGTGATTCGGACCGTAAATGCAAAATTTGACGCTTTAAGAAGTTTTGAAATATTTCATTGATTTTGAGGTTTAATTCGTTGTTATTGAGGTTATTTGGTGATTTGATCGCATGGATAAGTTCGTATGATGTTATTGAGTTAGTACGTATGTTTGGTTTTGAGCCCCGAGGGTTCGGGTGTGTTTCGGAAGGTTTTTGGAACTCAAAAAGTTGCAGGTTTCTGCTGTTCAGTGCCCAGGGATTTTACTCTTCACATTCGCGTGGTCTCTCTTGCGAACGCATAAGGCAAATTTTCCAGGTGCCATATTTCTTCTTCGTGAACGCAAAGATTGAGATGCGAACGCGAGGCTGAGGGGGAAATACCCTTCGCAAATGCACACAGGGTACAGGGAGTAAAGTGAGTACTCCAACTCAGTGAGTAAAAAATGTAAATAACGACTGAAAGTAAGAAAACACATAAAACACAAGGCATTCTATATTGAAGCAGTAAAAAAATTACTTAAAACAGTAAAACAGTGAAGAGTCAAGTAAAATCCCTTTTCAACAAGTAAAACAAGTAATTGATAGGTAAGTAAACAAATAGAAGTTCGCCCCTCGGGCACAGTATCAACGAATCCACCCCTCAGGCAACATCTCAGAACTGTATTAGCCCCTCGGTCTCAATCTCAGAACAATATCAGCCCCTCGGGATCAATCTCACATCACAATGGGTACTCGCTCTCACTGGGGTGTATAGACTCCGGGAGGGGCCCCTTACGGCCTGGCCCCAGCGCAATATCAAGCAATCTTGTGGCATCAAATCTAGGCCCTCGACCTCATATCAATCAAGCCACCTCGTGGCATATTTATGTATCTCAAGCCCTCGGCCTCATATCACTATCAATGTATCCTCACAGCTAGGCCCTTGGCCTTACTCAGTCCAAAAATCATCACAAGCTCCTCGGGCAATAGTAAAACAGTATTTCTCAGCCCAAAACATCATTTAAAAATATCATTTAAGTCTCAAAACTAAGTAAAAATGGCTGAGTAGTAAAACGGTGGAAAATAATATGACTGAGTTAAAGTAATAAGTCAAAACAATGAGGAAATAGTAATAAAAATCCCCGAAGGGTTCAAATAGTTGGCACAAAGCCCAAATATGGCAATCAACCCAAATCATGATGATAGCAAATAGCACTACGATATAGCAATCTCTAATAGTGCACGACCCCACGCTCTTCATCAAGCGTGTGTCTCACCTTAATATAGCACTACGATGTGCAAATCTGGAGTTTCAAACCCTCAGAGCATCATTTACAATCATTACTCACCTCGAACCGGCTAAATCTCTAACTCGCGACGCCTTTGTCCCTAGAATCGGCCTCTGCGCGCGTCGAATCTATCCAAAATCATAACGAATACATCATAATATGCTAAGGGAACAAATCCCAAGCAAAAACAATCAACCAAGGGCATGATTCCCGAAATTACCAAAACCCGAGCCCCATGCCCACGTCTCGGAATTGGGTAAAATTTACATTTTCAGAATCCTCATACCCTCACGAGTCTAACCATACCAAAATTATCCAATTCCAGTACCATTTGATCCTTCAAATCATCATTTTATATTTTTGGAAGATTCCACAACTTTTCTTCCCAAATTTCATCCCAAATCACGAATTAAATGATGAATTCAATGATAGATTCATGTATTTTACCCAAATCTGAGTTAGAATCACTTACCCCGATGAATTTCTTGAAAACCCTTCAAAAAATGGCCAAGATTCGAGCTCTCTAGGTCATAATATTAAATAAAACCCAAAACCTCGTATTTATAGAGTACCCCACAGATTTTCACCTCTGCGGACCGCACAAAAAACGACCACGGTCCGCACAAAAACGACTGCGGCCGCACAGGTTTTCATCTGCAGTGACAGGCTTTAGTATTTTGGCCATACCTTTCGCTACAGATGTCCAATAGCGATATCGGGGTCGATTTTCCACAGGGAACTTCAAATTGGAGTCGAGTATTTGTAT